CCGGCTATCAAAGGATATAGTGTCTGGGGTCTTAAAAGCAATTTCATGAGAGCACAAGTTACTCCTCCAGGGAGCTCCAGCCTCTGGATTCAAAGGGCCCCTAGAAAACAGGGAGGGTGGGACGACTCCATCCCAGGGTGGAGACTAGAACTCTGTGAAGGGAGTAGAAAGCCCTGTCTTTCTCCCTTGGGGCAGCTGGTGGTTTCAAACGCCTGACCTCTCAGAGGGCAGCCCAATGCATAACCACTAGGCTGCCAGGGTGCCTGGGCTCCAGGCGATGTAAACTCAAACGACAAAGATGTTCCGCAGCTTTTGCACGCCTGCTTCTGGGTGTTTATTCAAACCATGCCCCTGGTTATAAATGACTTCCTCACTTCTCTCTGGGTTTTGTTTTATGTTTTCAAGACCACCCTTCAAGGCCCTACTCAAGTCTCACCACCTCCTTGGCACCTTCCTTCCCCAGCACCTTTGGCCCAGAGGAATTCCTTCTTTCTCTACTACTGTAGGCCTCACCGCAGATTCCTCTCTTTGTGATCTTTTAAACTGTATTTATGATAGAAGTTAAAGTCACTATTTTTTTTTCTTCCGTGACTAAAGGACATGTTAAAGGAGCCCTGGTGCTCAAGCCAGGTCAGCAGTTCAAATCCACCAGTCACTCCAAGGGAGAAAGGTGAGGCTGTCTGCTCTCATAATGACTCAGTGTTGGGACCTTATGGAGTGGTTCTGCTCTGTCCTACGGTGTCACCGAGCCAGAACCAACCCGAGGGCAGTGAGTTTTACATGAAACCATATAATCACGTTTTTACCTGAAAGTTTCCACATCTGCATCCAGATTTGCCTTTGGGAATCTCCAAGGAGAATATGCAAAAATGGTTCCTTTACCTTTACTGCTTGAAATAATGCCATGCAAAACAGGGATTGCCCTAAGTCCAGGATTGAAAAGCATTAATACTTTAACACAGTTCAGCTACGCAGAACAGAGAGATATCTGCAGATATACATCTATGAATCCAACCACCATCCTTCATGACCGAGGGCCTTCTAATTTCTAAAACGTAACAAACGTAAACCTGCTCTCTCAGGTGTATATAAGATTGGCTTAGGATTTCCGGTGTTT